TTCAGAATTCACAGATAGTTATATGTGGTACATCCATTAGCGCTAATAGAACAGATGACCCATGATCATATGGGACGGTCAGACATAGAGTAGATGCAAAGCAGATAATGGTTATGCTTAACCAGTTTCATGATAGAGCCTCTAGTACTAGGTAACAGATAACAGATATCACATGACACTAAGGATGCCATGAATACATTTCAGAAATTCGAACAATTATTCATTCATACAAAATATATCATTTTAGAAAATTGATCATATCATATCATTTAGAAAATATTTAAAGATGAACATAACTTTACAAAGTTATTACGCACATATAGCTCTTGTGAATTATAATAGAGTACAAGTTTTAATGAATGATGTACATAACAGATTTAGAAATAAGAGTTTAGAGTTAGAAACATATTTATATTTATATTCATATTCAGAATTCACAGATAGTCATACGTGGTACATCCATTGGCGCTAGCATGATAGATGGTCCATAATTATATGGGATGTACAGATGACCCATGATCACATTGGACGGTCAGACACAGAGCAGATGCAAAGCAGATAATGGTTATGCTTAACCAGTTCCATGATAGAGCCTTCAGTACTATGTAACAGATAACAGATATCACATGATGCTAAGGATGCCACGAATACATTTCAGAAATTCGAACAATTATCCATTCATACAGAATATACCATTTCAGAAAATTGATCATATCATATCATTCAGAAAATATTTAAAGATGAACATAACTTTACAAAGTTATTACTCAAAGATAGCTCTAGTATCACAGCAGACAGATCAGATAGTCTATGTCGCGTGACCTACACAAACACATAACAGATACACATTGAAGCACATGCTCAGAAAATACAAAACTTATTTCTTTTCTATCTTACTGTGTTTCTAATCCTTATTCTCATTATTATATCTTAATTAAGGCTTAGGAATGCCTAAGATGCAATGAGGATGTCAAAATGTAATTTGAAACACTTAGTCAAATTTTCAAAAACATGGCAGTTCGCTCGAGCGGACCCCTTAGTCTGTAAAACTTCTGAGAGCTCTCATTTTACGCTCGAGTGCAACTTCTAGTCACTTGAGCCAAGGTTCAAAAATAAAGGTGGCCGCTCGAGTGCAGATTTTGTTGCTCGAGCTAAGGCTCATATCTACAAAAATACTGAGAGCTTGAATTTTACGTTCGAGCCAACTTTTTGTCACTCGAGCCAAGGTTTAAAACAAAGGGTGGTCACTTGAGCACAATGTTTTCCGCTTGAGCTAACCTCCAAACTCTGCAAAACATCTAGGAGCTTGCATTCTTTGCTCGAGCATAACTTTCATTGCTCGAGCGAAAAATGCGAATTATGAAATTTTCAGATTACTCTCTAAGCTCCAAAACTCAATTCCAATGCATAAAAACTCATTTTTTTTTGTGCCAAAACTTAAGAAAACACTTGTAAACTTATAAAACATCATGAATTAAAGATCATTTTGCAAAATCAAGGCCCAAAAGCAAGCTAATTGTTCAAAAGCAAACTTGAATTGTATGTATATATAACATGCATGTAATGTTATAAACTCAAACCTTCCAAAGCATGATCAATTGAGGTCAAATGGTATGAAATGTGATGAATTCTTAAAACCAAACTAGAATTACCGCATGCATGTGAAAATCCTTGGTGATTAAGCTCAAAATTGTAAGGAAATATGCATGTATGCATGATATGATCTGCTTTTCTACTTCTCTAGCTTAATTCTTGCATTCATTATCTTAATTCTCTTGAATTCTCATGGAAATTAACTTGATGTCTCAAATTCAAGGTTAAATTCTTACTTTAGATGCTTAATTGTGTTTTAGATGTTCAATTGATTGAGTTTCAAAGTCAAATCATTCAATTCTCGAAAATCTTTAAGCTTAAACTCAATTTTCCTAAGCTTCTCTCTCTCTCTCTCTCTCTCTCTCTCTCTCTCTCTCTCATGTTTTCCTTACTCAAAAATGAAGATGAAGTGTTTGAATGGCATAGTCTAGGATCAATTTGCCTTATATAGGCTTGTTAGTGGAGTTTCATCCAGGTCTTGTTTGAGAACAGGTTTTTTTAGTAACTTTTAGACTTTTTGATTAAAATATGATGTAAAAAAAAACTAGTATGTTTGAGATGAATTTTTGATTTTTTACGAAAAGATGTGCAAAAAGTAGAGAGAAAATGAAATATTTGACTTTTTGGTATAGGTTGTTGGTTTTTTGATTTTTTTAGTAACATTTTGACTTTTAGGCTAAAAAGTAATGTTGCCAAACGAGACATAAGCCTTGATTATGTCACGACCCAAACCCGGTACCCAAAGACTTGGCATCGCAACAAGATAAAAATAAAATAATTCTAAAATTTCTATAGTAGTAATGCAACGGATAAATTAAATAAATTAAAATAAAATAACTGGATACCAAAAGTTTATTAAAAAGAAACAAAAATGGTCATTTGGGCTTTTATTTTATTACAAGAGTCCAATCAAAATATAGATAGTACAAAAAAAGAAAACACTGTGATTTATCCCCCATCTTGATCCTGCTAAATCTCGTCACCTGAAAGGGGGTAACAACTATGAGCACATAGGAGAGTGAGAAATATCACACTGTGAGTATAGGGGCACAAAATAGCCATGGATTGTTATTTAAGCTAAAACATTAACATAATTTAAGTTGAATAAACAAATCATTTAACTGGCAGAAACTGAAATACATAAATTACGTAAATAACTATAACTACGGTACATAACAGAACAGAACATGGGTAACTGGAGTGACAATTAGAACATGGGTCAATGGAGTGACAATCAGAACAAGGTTAATGGATCCATGACAAACAGAGGACCAGAAAGTGGCCAAGCAGGGCCAATGGTTATTTAAGTCTCCCAAGGCATGAGAGTTCCATAGTGGTACTCATAGACAATAATTGTTTACAAGATTATTGTCAAATACTTTTTAAAATTTAAATAAACATATCTATGGGTTTCCATTTACGCAAATAGAGGTCAGGAAATAATCTACATAATTGAAACATTAATATAACTACAAAACATAAATTATATAAAATAAATTGTGGTAACTCAAAATATTCGTAAAATATATTATGGTGACTCAAGACATATAGAAAATATATTATGGTAACTCCAGGTATAATATAACTCACATCAGATATAAATTTATCCCTATTTTTCAAGTGCTCCCGAACCTATGCTTTTCACTCTTCTCACTTTTCTTCGCTTGCTCCTTCATTCTATATCAGCCCCTTCTATTTATACTCACCCAAGGGTAAGGCCCCAAACCAAGAGATATACACGTTGCTGCCTTCTCTTTTGCCACTTGTCTTGATCCTTGATTTTTACCTCCCCTATTGCCACATGTCCTTGGCCCCTAATTCATCCTCAAGAAATCACTAAGGGCCATATTAACCCTTGTCCCACCGAGAATTTGTTTGGCAATTTTTATTTTTTTTATTTTTCTTTTCTCAATTCTAAAGGTTATGATACATTAGGTTTACGTTCTAAAACCTTACCACCCAACTATAAAACATCACTTACCACTTATTGACATATTTAATATTCTAAACATGCGGTGTCTCACAATCTATTTCCTTGACAATTTAATCGATTAATTCCTAACTTTCCAAACTATGCATTTTTTTAAAAATTTATTATTTATTATTATTATTTTACATAATAAAGAATTCTATTTATTGCAGTATTGAATTAAATTTAAAAAAAGAAATTCGGATGTCACATTTATCCTCTTCTTAAAAGAAGTTTGTCCCCAAACTTGACGTACCTTGGGTTTCGAAGAAGTGTGGGTATTTGGCTCGCATTTAGCTTTCAGTTTCCCATGTCGCTTCTTCGACACGATGGTTTGTCCATAAGACTTTTACAAGAGGTATAGTCTTGTTTCGAAGAACTTGATCACAACGATCGAGAATCTGCACAGGTCGTCTTCATAAGAGAGGTCTTCTTAAACCTTCAAGTTCTCATAATCAACAACATGTCCTAGATCTCGAAGATACTGCCGAAGCATCGAAACGTGAAACACATTGTGGACATTAGACAGTTCGGATGGAAGCGCAAGGCGATATGCCACAGGACCAATCCTTTCTAGTGTCTCGAATAGCCTCATGTAACGTGGGTTTAACTTTCTCTGCTTCCCAAATCGGATAACCCCTCTTGTTGGTGATATCTTTAGGAATACATGATCTCCTATCTGAAATTCTAAGTCCTGTTTTCTTGTATCAGCATAGCTTTTCTGGCGGCTTTGGTCAGTGCGAATTCGCTTTTGGATAAGTTCAATTTTATCACTTGTAATTTGCATGATTTTGGGGCCTAACAGTTTCCTGTCTCTGACTTCCGTCCAACACAGAGGTGATCGACATCGTCTTCCATATAGTGCCTTGTACGGTGCCATTCCAATGCTTGCATGGTAGCTATTATTATAGGCAAACTCCACCAAAGGTAGGTGATCATCTCAATTACCTTTGAGGTCTAGTGCGCACAAACACACGTAACATATCTTCCAAAGTTTGGATTGTCCTTTCAGATTGCCCATCAGTTTTCGGGTGATAAGCCGTGCTAAACTTCAGAGTGGTTCCCAAAGCTTCTTGCAATTTGTTCCAGAAGTAAGACACGAAGCGAGGGTCTCTATTGGATACAATTGAAACTGGGGTGCCGTACAAACGAATAATTTCTTTAATGTATAGAGTGGCGAACTTAGTAAGGGGGTACGCGATTCTAATTGGTAGAAAATGTACCGACTTCATTAATCAATCAACGATAAGCCATATTGCATCATTCTTCGAGACTGATTGCGGTAGCCCGACCATGAAGTCCATATTAATGTGCTCCCATTTCCATTCAGGAATATGGATGGTTACAACATTCCTACAGGTCTCTAATATTCTGCTTTAACCCGTTGACAATGCAGGCATTTGGAGACGTGGCTTGCTATGTTTTTCTTCATTCCTGTCTACCAGAAGCGTTCCTTTAGATCGTGATACATCTCCGTTTTTCCAGGGTGGATCGCAAACCTTGAGCTATAAGCTTCTATCAATATCTTCTTCTTAAGTTCTAGAAGGTCGAGTACGCAAATTCGATTATAAAATTTTAGCATCCCATTGCTCATCGTAAAGTCAGGATCGAGCGTGCTTCTTTGCTTCTCGTACTTTTTCTTCAAAAGTTTGTCTTCGCATTGGTGTGCTCTAATTTTTTCAATCAACGCGGGTTCCACGATTATGTTGGCAAGCAATCCATTGATCTTGCGAAGAATAAGGGTACATGCCAAACTTCTAGTAATCTTTCGACTCAACGCGTCTGCTACTACGTTAGCTTTGCTTAGATAGTGATGGATCTCCACATCATAGTCTTTCATAAATTCTAGCCATTGTCGTTGCCTCATATTCAGTTCCTTCTGTGTAAATAGATATTTGAGACTCTTGTAATCTATGTAGATTTCGCAGGTTACTCTGTAGAGATTACTGTAGATTTTGAGGGCAAAGATTACTGCAGCTAATTCCAGATCGTGGGTTGGGTAGTTCTTCTCGTGGGTCTTTAATTGACATGAGGCATATGTAATGACCTTCCTATTTTGCATAAGAACGCAACCCAAACTATTGTATGAGGCATCATTATAAATTACAAACCCTTCCGTTCCCACGGGAAGTGCTAGTATAGAAGCTGTCACAAGTCTGTTTTTCAATTCTTGGAAGCAACATTCCTTCTTGTCCGTCCATTCGAAGGGTGTGTTCTTCTGAGTTAGTAGGGTCAAAGGCGATGCTATCTTTGAGAAATCTTGCACGAAGAGCCGGTAATAGCCAGCTAGACCTAAGAAGCTTCGAATCTCGGACACGTTAGTAGGTCGTGGCCAATCCACGATTGCTGCAACCTTTTGGGGGTCTACTGAGATGCCATCTTTGTTAATGACGTGACTAAGAAAGTGTACATTGGTGATCCAAAATTCGTATTTCTTCAACTTGGCATAGATTTTGTGATCACGTAGTGTTTGTAAAATCGTTTGTAAGTGCTGCTCATGGTCTTTTGCTGATTTGGAATATATAAGAATGTCATCAATGAAGACAATGACGAACTCATCTAGATAGGGTTTGAACACTTGGTTTATGAGGTCCATGAAGGTTGCTGGAGCATTTGTGACGCCAAATGGTATGATGAGAAACTCGTAGTGCCCGTAACGGGTTCTGAAGGCAGTCTTTTCGACGCTTTCTGTTTTGAATTTAGTTAATGGTAGCTAGAACGCAAGTCAATTTTCGAGAATACTCGGGCGCCTTGCAGTTGATCGAACAAGTCATCAATTCGTGGCAGAGGGTACCGATTTTTGATAGTGACTTTGTTCAATTCCCAGTAATCAATGCATAACCTCATATTGCCATCCTTTTTCTTTACAAATAGTACTGGAGCTCCCTAGGGTGAGGTATTAGGTCGAATGAAACCTTTGTCCAATAGTTCCTGGAGTTGAGTCTTCAGCTCTTTTAATTCTGTCATGGACATGCGGTAAGGGGCTTTTGAGATTGGTTGGGTACCAGGTTGAGTTTCAATGGTGAATTTGATTTCTTGGTCAACTGGGGTATCAAGTAAAATACATCCGAGAATTCTCATACCATAGGGATTTCATCAAGTATGAGGGCCTCTTGTTGAGTATTGATCACATAACAGATACAACTACAACAGCCCTTTCATAGAAGCCGTTGGGTTGTCATAAAGGATATAACACATGAAGGGGGAGACTCTAGTTCCATCAAAGACAAGCTCGAGTTGGTTTGGTGACCGGAGGAAGACCTTTTTGGCTTCACAATCAATAGAGGCATGGTTGGCAGCTAACCAATTCATTCCTAAGATCACATCAAAAGTACTAATGCAGAGGGGAATCAAGTCTACGTGTAAGGTTTCTCCTTTTAAGGATATAGTACAAGATTTGTACACATCAGCACTAAGAGTGGAGTTACCAAAAGGAAAAGACACAGATAGTGTATATCCTAAGGGTTCGCGTGTTGATGCCAACTTGGTAACAAAGTGTGGTGTAACAAAAGAATGAGTTGAACAAGAGTCAAAGAGAACATGGGTTAAGTGACCACAAACAGAAAGTGTACTTGACATAACATTCTTAGTAACTTCTGGGTTTCTAGACACCAGGGCAAAGGCTCTTCCTTGGCCTTTTTGGTCATTCTTCACTCCTCTGGGTACTGCGAGTTTTCGGACTAGTTCAGAGGGGTCGGCTATAGGACTGGCAAACTTTGGACAATTTCTCAGCAAGTGACCAACTTGGCTACATCGAAAGCATGCTCATGTGTCTCGATGGCATTGTCCCAAATGAGTCCTTCCACAGGTAGAGCAAGTTTGAATGGTGCCATCTCTAGGATTTGTAGGACCTTGATTACTTGAACTAGTTGAACTGGTTGTGCCCGTATTTACCCTCTTGGGAGGCGCGACACCGGATCTTCTATTATCTCTTTCCCAAAATCACTTCATTTGGCTTGGTTTCCCAGAGTGCAAGGCTTTAATTTCTTTTTCCGTAATGTATGCTCGATCTACCACCTCCGCATAGGTTGGTAGTTTCAAAACCTCCAGCCTATCCTTGATTTTAACATCCAATCCTACTTCAAATTTCCTAGCTTTTCGAGTTTCGGTGGGGATGACGTATGTCGCAAATCGAGCTAGTTGTATGAACTTGCTCTCATATTCTGCCACTGTTATGGTTCATTGCCTTAGACGTATGAATTCTGCTGCCTTTTGTTTCCGCAGTGAATCTGGAAAGTATTTTTCATAGAATACCTCCAAGAATTTTGCCCAAGTCACAATATCTTCTTTCTCCAAGGTAAGAAGCCACCATTCTTATGCATCGTTTTTGAAAGTGAATGTAGCAAAAGTCACCTTTTGTCTTTCTGTGCAAGGTAGCGCGCGGAAAATTTTCTCCATATCTCTAACCCAAGCTTCTGCCATCATTGGGTTTATATTGTCGATGAATTTGGTAGGTTTTAAGTCTTGGAACTGTTTTATTGTAGTTGGCTCTTCTCGTCGTTTGGGTATTCCGTTACTTATGTTGGTTTGTAAGACTCGTAGAAAACTGGTAAATGCTCTTTCCATGATTTGCTCCATTGGGTCAGTACCGCTGACCGACGATTCGGTTCCATTTCCATCATTAGCCATTACTACAAGGTGAAAATGGTTAGTGAACTCCCTCCCTTTTTTTTTTGAACCACTTAGTATACATTTAATTATCTATGATTCACAAGATACTATAACAGTACATATCACAATATCATATCTATGATTCGCAAGATACTATAACAATACATATATCATTTTTACTTATGTAAAAGAAAACATATTAGTACAACGTACTTAAAACATAGTCAAGAGTTAGTGTCTAATCCTATTAATACAAGAACAGAAGGATTAAACTAATCGTGGTCAGGTCACAAAAATCTCTTGGTCAGATGTCTAGAAGGGACTGTTAGGCCACCATGAGAACATGCTCTGGAAAACTGACTCATAAAATAACCCCGCAAACTCACTCTGCATGAGGGGCTCAAACTCCCCCCCACTAAGCTTTACTTCAAAGCAACGCCATACTACCCGAACCATGTTGACAGGAATACCGTGATCATAACCCCAAAACTCCCGTCCGGTAATCCTCACCGGTATCTCCAAGTATGATACACTGTCAGTGAAGTCCACAGCTAGGGACTGGACAATGTACTGTAGGAGAGGTGTCGTAGTGCGAAGGTGGCTGCTAGGATATGCATGTCCCCACCTCTCCATAAAGCCCAGGGGTAGAGGTGCGACCAGAAAATGCAGCTGTCTTAGGTCTGGAGCAAGACCAACAACGTGGGTCGGCCCTATATACCTCTCACGAGTGCTGTCTTAGCTAAGCCTCCAAAATAAGAAATCCTCATCGGGGTCGGCCTGCAAATATACGGGTTGCCCCATGAGTCGGTGAAGTTTCGGGTGAGCTTGCCTGACAAGACTCTCTGAATCACACTGCCTTCTAATAGGTTCGAGATAAGATGTGCTCCTGGTGGCTCGAACCAAAATAACTCCATTAGGTTTGCCATTTCCTACAACACAGGAAAACTTAGCCCAGAAATATTTATAACACGGTTTACTTGTGTTAGACAATTTAATTTAATTTTTTTTGTTTTGGAAAACACATACCATAATATCAAATAATAATATGAAGTTAAATTTATTATTAGTATTTTTTTTGTCTCAAATAATTATTTCAAATAATGTGAATAATTGTACATGACAAGTTAGAAAAATATACTAAATTCATTTTGATAAAAAAAAAAAAAAACCATTGCTCTGATACCACTTTTGTCACGACCCAAACCTGGTATCCAAAAGCTTGGCATCGCAACAACATAAAAATAAAATAATTCTGAAATTTCTGTAGTAGTAGTGCAACGGATAAATTAAAATAAAATAATTGAATACCAAAAGTTTATTAAAAAGAAACAAAAATAGTCATTTTGGCTTTTGTTTTATTACAAAAGTCCAATCAAAATACAGATAGTACAACAAAAAAAAACACTATAATTTATCGCTCATCTTGATCCCGCTAAATCTCGTCACCTAAAAGGGGCAATAGCTATAAGCATATAGCAGAGTGAAAAATATCATACTATGAGTATAGGGGCATAAAATAGTCATGGATAGTTATTTAAGCTAAAACATTAACATAATTTAAGTTAAATAAATAAATCATTTAAGTGGCAGAAACTGAAATATAGAAATTACGTAAATAACTATAACCACAGTACATAACAGAACAGAACAAGGGTCAAGGGAGTGACAATGAGAACATGGGTCAATGGATCCATGACAAACAGATGACCAAAAAGTGGCCAAATAGGGGCTAATGGTTATTTAAATTCCCCTAGGTATGAGACTTCCGTAGTGGTACTTCTAGACAATAATTGTTTACAAGATCATTATCAAATACTTTCTAAAATTTAAACAAACATATCCATAGGTTTCCATTTAAGCAAATAGAGGTCAGAAAATAATCCACATAATTGAAACATTAATATAACTACAAAACATAAATTATATAAAATAAATTGTGGTAACTCAAAACATTTGTAAAATATATTATGGTGACTCAAGACATATAGAAAATATATTATAGTAACTCAAGATATAATATAACTCATCTCGGATACAAATTTATCCCTATTTTTCACGTGCTCCCGAACCTATGCTCTTCACCCTTCTCACTTTTCTTCGCTTGCTCCTTCATTCTATATCAACCCCTTCTATTTATACTCACCCAAGAGTAAGGCCCCCAAACCAAGAGATATACATGTTGCTGCCTTCTCTTTTGCCACCTGTATTGACCCTTGATTTTTACCTCTT